GGTATACATAGCGTTTCCCACATGGGAGTCGCTCAAGTCACAATTGGTACAGGTGTTTTCCCCACCTAACCAGGCTTACCGCGTGCGTTCACGCTTTCTTTCTACCCGCCAGGGTGAGAAAGAATTTTTGGACTATGTCCAAGAGCTGCAAACGCTCATGGCTGCTATGCAGTCTGACCCTCTGCCTGAAGCAGTCCATGTGACTATCTTCATGGAAGGTCTACGTACTGGCATTGCCAGAACCGAGGTTTTTCGGGTTCACTCCTCTACGTTTGAAAAGGCTGTAAGAATTGCTCTCAATGCTGAGCATAACTTCAAGTCGGCCAGACTTGGTTGGAATGGATACAATCCTCGCTCTGTGAGAGCAAACTTTTCGGGTACCACTGCCTATAACAGGCCGGAGCCGATGGATCTCAGCTATGCTGAAGATGGAGGTGAAGCTGAGCTTCAAGCTGCTGAGCAGCAACACGTCGTACGACGATGTTTTACGTGCGGAAGCACTGAACACTTGCGGCCTGGTTGCCCTTTGCGTAAGCAACGCCAGGCTACGAGCCAACACTCGACCCCGAGTCAGAAGTCAGGCATGGCACGGGGAAATGCCGACACCCAGTAGGCGCGGGGCGCCCTACTGGGGAAGAACTAGGTTCTGTTACACCTTTTAAAGGTAAAGGAATGCAGGGCTTAGCCCCAAAGAGTACCATACCGGTAGGTATGGTACGTGGATACAAGTCTGGCTTGCTGGTCGCCGAGGCGAAAATTAAGGGCTTTGAGAAGCCTTGGTCGATATTGATCGATTCTGGAGCGTCTTGCAATTATGCTCAACGCCGTTCCCTTGAGGGAAGTCAGCGTTATGCTGAAGCGCTTACAGCGCATGAGGGTGATTCTATCACGATTCGTTTAGCGACTGGAAGTCGCGTTACTGTGCCTAAAGTCCATCGAACTTAGGTATAAAGTTTTTAGACTTTGACAGTATTGAGCGCTGTCTTGTCCTAGATTTGGACTCGAGATATGATCTCATCCTAGGTATGGCTTGGCTTGAGCGCCATGAGCCATGAGCCATGGATTGATTGGAGGTCGAAGACCTTAGGCGCTACGCGCAATGTTCCTAGCGAAGCTTTGGAGAGTCATGAATCCACCTTCGCTAGGCAAGAGAAGCGCTATTGGCGCGAGCCTTTGACAGAAGATGTCAATGTGCTGGATATCTAACTCCAATGTTACAAACATAAGTTTCGAGCCTAGCTCGTCTGAAATTAGTGAAACGGCACGTACTCTGTTGAGTGTTGCTCGTTGTGATAACGAGTCACTGCATGCTGAAAGCATGGTTGGCCTAGGGCCTAGTGATCAAGGATGTGATTCTTTTGATGTGTGTATGGAAGCACGTGAAACTACACCGAGTGCGGTTGGCCGTGAGAGCACCGCACTGAAAGTCGGTAATGACGTTGTTGGCGATTCGCCATACAGTGTGGGCGGCCGTGAGGGCACCACACCTAATGTCAGTAATGATATTGTTGTCGATACTCCGTATAGTGTGGACGGCCGTGAGGGCACCACGCTTAACGCCGGTAATGGCGTTGTTGGCGATACGCCGTATAGTGTGGGCGGCCGTGAGGGCACCATACCTATTGTCAGTAATGATACTGTTGGCGATACGCCGTATAGTGTGGACGGCCGTGAGGGCACCACACCTGATGTCGGTAATGACCTTATTGGCGAGACGCCGTTAAATTTGGGGCTAGGCCCGCATAATACACGTGGAGTGGCACGTTTCAATCCACTGGGTGAAGTGTTCGAGTTATGTAACACTTCACCGGATGTTGGTCAAGACAAAAGCTCTCGTATAGAGCGTACTATGGTTGGTAGGTACCATGGGGACAATGTTGTCCCGACCTCTAAGGGAGGGGTGTAAGGTCTCGAAGAGACGATCGAGACGCCGGGTAGCAACTTTTAAGCGCCAGGCGTCCTCACAGTCACATAGTGATAATAGTAATACACTATATACACTTGTTAATGGAGTGACTGGTCAGGTTGATGGCAGTGTTTGCCTTGAAACCCTTCCATCTGTGGACGCTCTTTGTGAGCTAGACGAAATGTCTGATGGCGAGTTTAGCCAGGCCTTGAAGGCAGGAGAGTTATCCGAGTTAGCGGTCATTAGACCTGATACTGAGTTGAATTCTTCCTCGTTAATGGATGAGTCTGTCCTAGAGGATACAAAGGCGGCACTTAGTGCACGAAGTGGATCTTCGATCCTTAAAGATTCTTTGGATCCGTTCTATCCTTTAGTTAAGGAATTTCAAGATGTGGTGTGTCACAACCCAGCTTCTGCCTTACCTCCCGATAGAGGTGTACGTCATGAGATTGACTTGGTTCCTGGAACTAAATACTGTGTAACACGGCAGTGGCCTTTGCCTAAAGAACAGTGTGACGTCATTGACGACTTCTTTCGTGCTAAGCACGCGGCTGGAATGGTTCGTGAGAGCAAGTCTCCCCATTCGACACCGAGATTTTGTGTCAAAAAGCCAAATGGCAAGTGGCGTATTGTGCATGCTTATAATAAGCTTAACGCAGCCACTATACCGGCGCAGACGCCTATTCCTGGAAAGGATGTTCTTCAGAACATTTGGCAGGACGTACATTGTACAGTGCACTCGACTTAGTCGATGGTTTTTACCAACTACTCATGCGAGCAAGTGATATTCCGCTAACAGCGGTGAGTACTCCGAGCGGTATGCTCTGGGAGTGGCTTGTTATGCCACAAGGGCTATCTAACGCCCCGGCCACGTTTAACCGGCTGGTAACGCAACTATTCAGACCTCATCGAGGCTATGCACAAACGTACTTTGATGACATTATTGTCCATAGTCGTGCAATGAATGGGCGATCAGATGTGGTTAACCACATTGATCATTTACGAGCTGTGCTCGCGTGCATGCGAACAAATAAGTTGCATGCTAACGCATCAAAGTGCATCTTTGGTGCAGAAGAGATTCCCTTTCTAGGGTGCTTCCTTGGGAAGCGAGGCCTTCGAGCGGATCCCGCTAAGGTGAAAGCCATAGTCGACTGGCCGGTTCCCAAGAACCAAAAGGACTTGCGTAAGTGGCTTGGCCTTGCCAATTACTTACATTAGTACAGTGCGAATTACGCAGATATGGCTGAGCCATTGTCCAATCTCCTTAAAAAGGATGTGGGTTGGTGTTGGGGTAACACCGAACATAATGCTTTTGAAGCAGTTAAGGAGAGTCTCCTTCATGCGCCAATTTTGGCTTTGCCCGATTCTGGTCGGCCTTTAAGTGTCGTCTGTGACGCATCTGACTTTGCCATAGGCAGTACTCTGTTACAAACAGATGTCGACGGACGCGAACGCGTCATCGCATTCGAGTCTCGGCAGCTGAAAGCTGCTGAAAAGAGCTATCCTGTTCATGACAAACAGCTACTTGCTATGAAGTACGCTCTTGTCAAATTCAGAGTACATCTGCTTGGCTCCAAGCCGTTTGTGATCTATACAGATCATGCGTCATTACGCACTGCGACACAGTCGCCTCATCTCTCACAGAGAATGGCTCGTTGGCTTTCCTTCTTTGCCGAATATAACTTCAAGGTGAAGTACAAGTTAGGTAAGCAAAATGCTTTGGCTGATGCTCTATCGCGTCGACCTGACTATGAGATTGCTCATGTTAGGACTCTGTCGTCGTCAGTCCCTGACTTAATTCGTGCGGCATATGCCGAAGATGATCAGTGTGTAGCTTTGCTACGTGCTCTTGGGAGCGATGAGTTTAAAGACTCGGACATAGAATTGTCGGCACGTTTACGTGCGAGGCTACATCGATATTCCATCGATAATGGCCTGTTGTGCTATCGCACGGATATTGAAGATAACCCTCGTATCGCTGTACCTCATGATGAGGAATTAAAGTATCGAATCCTCTATGAGGCACATGATACTGCTTTAAGTGGTCATCTCGGTCGTGAGAAGACTTATAGCTCGGTGAGCCAAAGTTATTGGTGGCCCAAACTTTATAAGTGGGTGCGCAACTATGTGCGTACGTGCGAAACGTGTCAACGGGTTAAACCCTCGGCACATGCGGCGGCGCCGCTGGTTAGTTTGCCAGTACCCACTGGTTGTTGGGGGTCCATGAGCATGGATTTTGTGTTTTGCCTACCGAAAGATTCGGAAGGCAACACTTGTATTGTGGTCTTTGTTGACCGATTAAGCAAGATGGCTCACTTAGCGGCTGTGCCGGATAGCATCGATGCTGAAGATACAGCAAAGCTGTTTATCGACCGTGTGTTTCGCCAACATGGCTTGCCGGTGGCAATTATCTCTGATAGAGACCCCCGCTTCACTGGGAAGTTTTGGAAGTCTATCTTCAAGGTGCTTGGCACTCGGTTGAACATGTCCACAGCGGATCATCCGCAGACCGACGGTCAAACTGAGCGTGTTAACCGCGTCATCAACGACATTTTGCGCAGTGTTTGCGCTGATACGCCTAGGCGTTGGAGCTCAATGCCTTTTATTGTTGAGTTTGCGTTGAATAACGCTGTGCATGCCTCAACAGGCTTTACTCCGTCTTACGTAAACGGTCTCACTCACCCTCGCGTTCCGTTAACGCTATTACTACGTGAATCAGGGCTTGGTGGGGGAGAGGTTGCCGATCGGCTTGCTGATATCAGCCCTGCTACTGTTCAAAAACAGGTATGCGAGTTTCTCGCGATGCGATTAAACGTCTTAAGACATGTGCGTGACGCAATGGCTGATAGCCAAGATACCCAAAAACAACAAGCTGATGCCAAAGGCAGAAATTGTATTGAACGTTATGAGGTCGGAGACCAAGGACTGCTTGATGCTAAAAATCTACCTACAAATGTAGTGTCTGCAGTCTTTAAGACAAAGTTGCGTCCACGCTTTATTGGACCGTTTACGGTCACGGCCAAGAAGGGACTTGCGTATACGCTAAACCTCCCGCGCAAATTGCGCACACATCCAGTGTTCTACGTAGGCTTACTTAAGCCGTACCGGGATCCTTCCCATGTGAACTTGGAGGTGCTTGCGCCGACGACAAGGGCACTGCCCCGGATTGCTGTAGACGAATCAGCAAGTCCAACTGAGCCTCGCTCCGAGTCTGAGCTTGCTCCATCGCCTGAAGGCGACTTTGTATCGCATCCAGCATGCACTGGGACTTACCCAAGGCCTCTTGAAGACCCTCCACTTCGAGAACCAATTTCTCGTGGGCCTCCACCGGTAAACCGGCCGCCACCGACTTTGCTCGATGAGCATGGGTGTCGTCAATTTCATGTTGAGAGACTGAAACGACGTCGTCGTCAGGGCCAATACCAGTATCTGGTAAAGTGGCGTGGGTACCCTGAGTCTATAAACTCATGGGAATTTGAGGTACCCCTTCGGCAAGACTGCCCATATGCTTTGGAGGCTTTTGAGCATCGTGGCCATGGTCATCTCGAGGCCGAAGCCGTTCCCCGCCACTAGTGGTGCGGGTTGGCGGGTTGTTGGCCACATACTGACCAGCACTCGCGGCTACCTTAGTAGCCGAAGCATAGCGCGTGCGCTTGCGCAATCGGCCTCTGGCCTTAATCTTGGCATAATCATACCGAAGCTTGCATTCAAGACGCACATTAGCCGCATGGGCACTAGCCCTTAAAGCAAAAATGTTGCTGAGGCGACGCACATAGTGCACCCAGTGAACGAAGGCATCGTCTTCTTCGCTCACTGTTTCGCCTGCGAGCAAGAGAATGGGTATACCCTTCATCGGTGACACCGGTGTACCACGTGCTTGCATGTCAAGGCGTGACTTGTATTGACTTTGAGTCGTTAGGTGCGGCTCCAGGTACCTCTCACGAAGTGACTGGCAGCTCATTACCTACTCAGGAGTCTTAGGCCCATGGCCAATGACCCACGTTGCCAATGTTTGGCCGGCCGCTTGACGTAGACGTTCCTCCACACTGGGTGGGGTGAACACATAGTCACGCTGGCGTTCAAGGGGTGCAGCCATTTGTACTTAACGCTGAGCGTATTCTTCTCTTTGGACAAGCACTTGTTTTTGCTCATCGAGCGGTTTCGTGATGATAGTCTCATCAGACTTAGATGCTGCATGCTGCGCTGGTGGCGCGCTCGCATCTCCACGTTCAGCGAACGGATTTGGGGTTTTCGAAGGTTGTGCCACATGCATCAGTGATCCGGACATTGTCCCTGTATCACCGCGGACACTGGTATCGCTACCATAGTCCACCTCCTCCTCTATTCCGAGGTAGTCACACAGAGCCTTTGACTCGTTTGGTGGTGAGGACATCGTGCTAGAGCGTAGGTTACCGTGAGGTTCACCGCACGCGCACTGTTCTCGCTAAAACACAAGTTCGATTGACGTTTTGGCAAACGTCAGTCTGGTGGGGTGGGTGTAACGGGGTTGCGCGAAATTATGGTACTTTGTACCAGAGGTGTTACACACCTGAGGTTACCTCTTTGTGAAGGTAATATAGAATATCTTATTGGTTTGTAGGGGCTGACGAGTGTCAGCCATTAGGCACGAAAGATCTTTGAGTAGGATTAAGATATTCTATAAGAGTTAACAAAAATAAAATCAGTTCCCATTTTTATCTAGAAGACACGTGGCTTGCGAGTCGTCTTGATCGTTGATCACTGATCACTAAGAGTTAGCAACACCTCCTTGAGGTAGCTACTCTTGAGCACTGAGTGCTGTCGTTTCACTTAATCGTTAGGTCCCCTGGAACAGGGATCTGAAGCTGTCAAGCTTGTTGACTCGTTAAGTCGTTAGTTCTTTGGAACTAAGTTGCTCGTAGAGCGTTAAGTCTTCCTCTGACTTAAGGAGCTGTGTAGCTCCGCTACAAATACGGTGGTCTTGTATGCATGGCCTGAACTTATTTGCTTCCTTTATGTGAGCTGTATTCAAAATTAAACATGCCTTCGTATATCGATTCCAATTTCATCTTCAGTTGAACCAAGCGAGCAAAATTAATTGCGAGGCCGAAGAGTGAATTTGTTTGTGACTGTGTGGGAGGCGACGAAGATGTTTCAAAGCCTTCTTTCTGTGTCTATAAATAACGGTAGTACATCTTACGCGTCGTGCTTAGTTCGTCGTAGCTTATTTCACATAAAAGGTAGTTAGAAATTTATGAAGCTGTCACTCTGTAATTAGGTCACCGATTGCGACCACGTAGAGAGTGCAAGTATCGCACACACACCGATACCCACGAGTGATTGACTCAAAGTGACCAAGGACGAACGAAAAAGATAAGCAATGCTCCATGCTGTGGGGCAGCGAAATTCTTTCATATCTGTCAAACAGTAAATGTTAAGGTGTCATATGCTTAAAACATGATAAATATAAGGCTAGATACACAGGTCTCTCGTTGGCAGACGGAGCCATCTTTCATTTAACATCTCTTTATCATGAACCAAATATACGTCATCGGTCACACTCCTCTTTGTCGACAGCTTACGCCGAGTGAAGGCTCAAGGCTGACTAATTTTCCATGCGCATTTGCTTCAGCGACTAGAAGCGGTCAGCGCTCGACATTTTGCTACACGTCAATTTTGAGTTCTTAGATCCTATACTTACAGTAGAGAGGTTCACCGTAAACAGGAAAAGTTATCATTGGTCTCTCTTTTCTTATAATCGTCTTGTCACGACCAAGACATATTGACGAGTAGCTATACCCGCAACGATCTATCTATTAGAAACCATCATGTTTATTATGTTTAATGCTGAATAACTATACCTCTGGTCTGACGACCAGCCAATCAGGTGACGGTCTCACCTGATTGGCTGGTGGTCATACCAAGTGACCCGTGGGACCACGAGGAGACGATCGGTCAAATGGGAACAATAGATACAGTGTAACGGGGTGAATCGTTACATAACAATTTATAAGAAATTGTAAATAGAATATAACTATAAGAGTTATATTCTTAGAAAGTTGTCGTAAGGACAAATATTCTGTAGCACTTACGAGTAGTTCCTAATTGGTTGATATAGGCCATTATATCAACCTACGAAGACGCGCCACGACAGACGCAAGCGATGAGTGGTGAGCAGATATTTGATTTACACATTTGTATTTAGGCATAGTTAGATGAAGATAAATAGTGATTTATTGCAGACATTAACTATACTAAATACAGTTCTACTTTTTACTTTAACCAAGTACTCGCTTCTTCTTACCGTCTTCCTCTGCACGTACGAGTGTACGTGAAGTTCCGAGGCACCGCCTTATTCTGTCATCAGAATAAGTAGCTTGTACTGTCACCAGTACAAGCTTCAGGGTGCCCCGTTACACCTGGCAGCACTTTGTAGTCCGTCCAAGGACCACGTTCTCATCCAGCATGAATATGTTGGATGATGAAGATGACCAAAGCTTTCACGCTACGCGTGACGGCTACTCCCATTTGAGCGATGTCGAATGGGATGCGGTTGAACGAATGGGTTCGACCATGGGCATCCATGCTGTTAGCGTCATGCTAGAGGCTCTCAATAGAGATGCCCAACATGCTACTATCGCCAAGTTCATTCAAAATGAACTTGACGCTGAACGCGAGAAAGTAGCCTTGCTTCACCAACAAGGTTCTCAACAAGCAGAGTTGTTGAGAGAACAAGGTGCTCAACAGTTTGAACTGTTGAGACAGCAGCAGGGCTGCTGCTGGCGGGTCGATGCACTCGCGTCGGCCCGAGACTTTGAAGATTGACATCTCAAAGTATAGGGGAGTCGAAGAAGGACTCCCTCTTGAGATGGTTCGTCGAATTGGATGACGCCATAAGGGCGCGTCGCATCGACGACGGGGATATGCAAGTTGCATTTGCCCAGTCAAATCTGGCAGGACGTGCCAAGACTTGGGCACTGGGGCTCAAGCTGCACGACCCATACGCGTTTGGGTCGTTGGAAGTCTTCAAGTCGCGGCTCAGACAAACGTTTGAACCGCCTAGAGCTGAGTTCAGAGCTCGAACCGAACTCTTGAAGCTCAAGCAGGGTAAGCGTGATGTGCACGCTTACGCTCAACATATACGACATCTCACGAGTTGTATAAGTTCCAATCCGGTGGATGAACACACGTTGGTTTCGGTGTTCATGCAGGGTCTTGCGGATGGTCCCGTCAAGACTCACCTGTTCCGGCTTGAACTAGATTCACTAGAACAAGCCATTTCAATTGCGGAGCAGGAAGACTTCAGTCTGAGACAGGCTCGCGCCAGCTCGACATCGTATCGTCAACCGAGACGATATGACAGCGGAGGTCCAGAGCCGATGGAACTCTGCTATGTAGAGAGCGAGAAGGCTCGCTCTACAGACTACAAGAAGTTGCAGAAATGCAACAGATGCCAAAAGACAGGACACTACGCTTACGAGTGTAGTGCCCCTCGTCCAGTGTCTCGCAACACTGGGCGTAATGAACGTCCACCCATGAGAAAGGGGCAGGGACGCGGGTCCGCTGTTGGTGCAAAGACGCAACAACGGGATGGACCGTCAAAAAACGGACAGGATCAGTAGGTGCGGAGCACCCTACTGGTCTAGCAACGTCAAGAGAATTTGTAGGCCTCTTGATGAAGGTTGCTCCCGACACACAAACGTTGTGCGTGCTGCCCTAAGTAATGAGGTCTCACTCATTACCTTGAAACTCGAAGTGACGAATAAGTTGTCCCTTCGAGCTCTAGTCGATTGTGGGGCGTCTAACAATTTGTGCAACGCCAATCGCTAGAAGATGGTCACTTTAAATTCAGTGAATGTGACACACCTCCTACGAGGATGACGGTACGTCTTGCGACAGGCGCATCCGTAACCGTCATGAAGCGTATAGTGAAGATCCAATATACGTTAGAAGATACCCAATATGATGATGACTTTATCGTATTCGATTTGGATGACAAATTTGATGTCATCCTTGGAATACCGGGGCTCAGAAGGTACGAACCACGAGTAAACTGGCAACATCGAACAGTAACGATGCCTGCCGCTTGTTCATCAGATGGCCATCTGATGAACGGTTTGGAGCGTCCACAAGCGTGTAGATGTACTACGAGTGAGTACGATGCCCCACTTGTGGTACGGTCGTTAGTACGACTGCACGAAACCTTAGTGTAACAAACAGGTACACTTCGGAGCAAATTTCCGGCGGCTGTGAGGATACACAGGCTGCGCCGAAGGTCCACCACTCGATTAAGTCGAGTGGACTGGGACAAAGATGTATCCCTAGCGGGGAACATCTAGAAGAGAAACGATCGATCGCTCAGGTTAAGCGAAACGATAATCCTAGATCGACTGGAGAGTCTTTCGTAGAGGATCTCGCTGTGGTTGCGCAACCACAGCTAGAGGAAGTAAAGGGAATAAGTCCCAAGATTACAAATACGGCGGAAATAAGTTCCCCGAAACCCGCGGGAATAAGTCCCCGGGAAGCCGAAGGAATAAGTCCTTCGAAGCCTGAGGGAATAAGTCCCCAGAAAATGACAGATACATTGAATGTCATAGCCAATAACGGATCAAGTGTAGGCGCTTATACACTTGATCTGATTGCGCCTCCGAAGTTGACTTCGGAGATCACTCAGTTGCCAACGCTCGAACATAAAGGTTCTTGCGTGATCTGCGTAGTGGCAAAGTCAAGCAGATCTGCGTACTCGTCGCTGACGACGAGTGTGTAGCCGACATAAGGTCAGCAACAGTGTTTAATGAGAACGAGAGAGTTCTCAGTAGTTCATCTATGGACGAGAGTGTCCTAGATGAAAAGACACGAATTGAGCGATATGACTCCCAATCGTGGGAATCGCTCAAGACAAATCCTCTCTATGAAGATTTGGTTTAATTCAAGGATGTATTCCCTGAAACTGTTCCGTGCGAATTACCGAAGGATAAAGGTATTCGACACGAGGTCGAGCTTAAACCAGGCTCGAAGTACTGTGTCATGAAGCAGTGGCCACTGCCTCGTGAACGAGTACTTGCGATCGACAAGTTCTTTGCCGATCGTTTAGCTGCGGGCCATGTGAGAGAATCAACTTCCCCACATATCTCTCCGACCTTCTGTGTGAGAAAAGCAACAGGAGGGTGGCGGATAGTGCATGCATTTAACAAGTCGAATGCTGCAACGGTACCGGCTCAAACGCCGATACCAAGGAAGGACGTAATCATTGATGGTATGTCAAAGGGTCCCATCTTTTCGTCCATGGATTTGATGGATGGCTTCTATCAAATCCTTATGCGAGAACGGGATATACCCTATACCGCAGTTAGCACGCCTAGCGGCATGCTCTGGGAATGGCTAGTAATGCCACAAGGGCTTAGTAATGCCCCTGCCACGTTCAACAGATGTGTATCACATCTGTTAAGACCAGTACAAGAATTCGCGCCGAGTTATTTCGATGACGTATTCATCCATAGTCGAGCTATGGATGGAAAGTCGGACGTTGAGGTTCACAGATACCACGTCCGACAGGTTCTTACAATCATGCGAAAGCATCAATTGTATGCCAACCTCAAGAAGTGCATATTTGCAGCAAGCGAAATACCACTTCTTGAATGCATCGTTGGTAAGAACGGTGTACGTCCTGATCCCGAAAAGATCAAGGCAATCACCGACTGACCTGTGCCGGTTGATATCAAAGGTCTTCGAAAATTCCTTGGGCTAGCGGCGTATTTGCATAAGATTTCACACAGTTACGCCGAGATGACTGCACACCTCTCTCGTTTGTTGAAAAAGAACGAGAGGTGGTTATGGAACGCTGAATGTCAGCGCTCCTTTGATGGTATCAAGCAGAGCTTGATACATTTCCCAGTCCTAGCAATAGCCGATCAGGACAGGCCATTTCATGTGGTCTGTGATGCCAGCGATTTCGCAATTGGCTGTGCATTAATGCAGTACGATCTTGAAGGCGTTGAACGCGTCGTCTGCTATCAGTCGCGTCAGCTGCAACCAGCTGAGCGGAACTGTCCAATGCATGACAAGGAAACCCTTGCCATGAAGTATGCACTCGCGAAGTTCAAAGTCTATCTATTAGGAGATAGACCCTTCATTGTTTACACTGACCATGCGTCATTACGCACGGCAGTAAACAGCCCGCACCTTTCACAACGAATGGCGCCGTGGTTGTCATTCTTTGCGGAATACAACTTTACGGTCGAGTACAAACCAGGACGAATTAATGTCGTCGCTGATGCACTCTCACGTCGGCCTGACTTTGAAACAGTCGCGAAACCCAACAGTGAGACAGTCACTGTTGCGGTTATGACGTCCTCAGTCCCATCTACAACGTTGTATGATGATGTGAGGCGGGCATACGCCCAAGATGGTGAGATTGTGAAGTTGTTGACACATCTCTCCCAACTATCCCGAGAATCGTTGAAACGATTGTCGCCTGCGTATCGATCTGCATCAGATCGATACACTACTCGTAACGGTTTACTGTACTATACAGCCGTTTCTGGTGACACACCACGTGTTGTCATTCCAGATGATACTGATCTGCGTTTGCGGATCATGTTCGAGTATTACGATGCTCCTATAGGAGGAAATCGTGGCCGAGAGAAAACATATCTCACGGTAAGTCGAGACTTTTACTGGCCCCGCCAGTATCAGTTTGTGCGAAAGTATGTTCGCGCATGCGAAGTCTGCCAACGAGTGAAGTCAAGTCCTTCACTGCGTGCACCTTTACAGCCTCTACCGGTTCCGGCTGAGTGCTAGGAATCTATCTCAATGGATTTCGTCTTCAGGTTACCCAAAGACGCACGCGGGAATACGGGTATTCTCGTATTTGTTGACAGATTCAGCAAAATGGTACACCTTGTGGCCGTACCAGAGACAATCACGGCAAGTGGCTGTGCTTGTGTCTTTATTGACACCATCTTCCGACTTCATGGGTTGCCCCGTGAACTCGTAGCAGACAAAGATCCACGATTCACTGCTGATTTCTGGCGTTCCGTGTTCAAATCACTCGGAACGCGCTTGAAGATATCGACATCTGATCATCCAGAGTCAGATGGTCAGACGGAACGTGCCAATCGTGTCCTCGAAGAGATACTTCGAGGATACGTACACTCCTTTAAGAGTTGGAGTGAGTTTTTGCCAATGGTAAAGTTTGCCATTAACAACTCGGTGCATGCGTCCACGACACATACACCGTTTTACGTGAATGGCTTGCGCCATCCGCGTGTACCCACCTTACTAGAGTGTAACTCTGGTTTAAGGGGGGGAGGGACTTGCGCGAGCAAAAACCGATTTGGTTCACGCTCATCACGCTCTGACGAAGAGGTCATTGCGTTTGATGCCGATATCGATAACATCGATATCGAAGAAGATGATGCCAGTGAGAGTGCGGAAGCCCTCACTGAAGAAGATGATCCCAGTGAGAGCGAGGAAGCCCTCACTGAAGAAAAGGTTGATGTCGCTGCAGTGCGCTCACAGCGCACTGAAGCTAACGAGTCATCAGATGAGTTCATACTGGCTCGTGAAACGGTAGTCCGTTTTGTGCAAGACTCCATCGCCGAAGCGGTGGATAAGCAAAAGCAAAACGCTGACAAGAATGGAAGGGCAAACACTCTTTTATTTAATAAAGGTGACTTAGTCCTACTGTCTACGGTTAATCTACCAAAGCATGTAGTGACTAACTTGGGTAGCAGTAAACTACTACCCAAGTACATTGGCCCATTTCGTGTATTGCACCGCCTAGGCAATGCATACACGATCGAGTTACCACGTAAGATGCGAACGCATCCCACGTTTTACGTTGGTCGGCTTAAGCCGTACCATCAGTACGCTGCTTCTTCCGATGAAGAACGCCCTTGCGCTCAAGCATCTCGCAGAGAGCCTTGTGCTCCCGATGGTGGGCATCAACAAGGGTCTGAAGAGCAGTTATCTCAGCCCGAGACCGATCAACAATCCCACGAGCTACCCTTAGCTCGTCACGAAGAGATGTCAGAGATCTCTCGTTCTCAAGCTGAGCAAAGGCAAACTCAGCTCGATGCTTCAAGACAGTGTCCGCCATCTGGAGACGCCTATTCCGCTCATGTTCTAGATCGCCGCGTAACCCTTGCGTTACGCGATCAAAGAAACTCTCGGGAACACACGCTTCCCCACGACTGTGCGGAGATCGTCTTTCCTCCTCCTCCACCTCCATGAGAGGACTCTCGCGGTGGCCAGCGCTATCTGATTGAGCGGCTGTTGAATTACCGCGATGTGAACGGACGTCGGACGAGTTATCTCGTCCGGTGGAGCGGTTACCCCCCGTCCTGGGATACTTGGGAGCCCCGCTCCCAACTGATGGTTGACGTACTGGGTCTGGTTGAGCAGTACGACGCGGCACATCTTGTGCCGCAGAAGGACCGCCGGAGAAAGTCTTCCCGGCACGGTCTTAAAGGGATTTCAGGTTGTCAATCCCTTCGTACATCTCAGTAGAGATACGTACGCGCCACCACGGGCTATTAAGGAGATAAGCCTCCTTAGGTGCGCGCGCAGAGTTGTTCACACAACATGGGCACGAGTCTCCCCAGGAGAGACAGGGTAATCCTTTCTCCCTTGACAGACGATGCAGCTTGTAGCGTGCACCTGTCGGGGTTCGCTTTTCAAACTTATCACGAGCTTTGAGAAGTTTGTCGTTCCAAACGTCACGACCTACATCCTCAAGGTTATGGATGTAGGCGTTCCACGCTTGAAGTAGTGAGGGACCATCAAGTTTGTGATTCCCACTGTACCATCGATGTTTAAAGAAGGCATCGATGAAGAGCTCATGCTCAGCGCAATAGTTTTTCGCACTGGGGTCAAGGTGATAAATCCTTGACGAATCGAACAATCGTGTTCGATAACGATCACTCGTCGTCGCCGACAAGTGATCCAGGACGGATTTGGGAGGCATCCATGCCTTCTTCTCGGGAGCAAGACGCAAGACATTGCGGTCCCGCTCTTCCTGTGATGTGCCGACAGAAGTACTGGCACCTCGTTGCGTAGTGGTGTCCATAGGAGAACCGACACCACTGTTAGCGCCCGAGTCTCGCGACCTCGAGCGCCTTCGCTTCGGCGATGGTTCATCTGATTCGGCAGACGAACCAAAGATGCTACGACGCGTAGCATCATCCATGCCACGCTTTGCAGGCGGCTTGGATTCAATCGCCTTCGTTACGGATCCGTATTCCGTATCAGGAGAGTATGAAACACCGAGCTCATACTCTGTGAAGACATGAGTGTCTTCATGACGAGCGCCTGCATCACCAGGTGACACAGACTGAGACGCTTTAGCAACCGATGACACATCGGTTGCAGCGGTTTCTGCTTCGGCGTCTGCACAGAGACGTGCAGACGCGCTCTCAGCGGCCTTGCTCGCGCATCGCATGGGCTTGTTTACCATGCGATGAAACTGATGGAATGTGGACTCGGACCAACAAGTGCAAACCCTGTCCCAAATGATTTGGGACGAGTATCCATTTAGTCAATCAGTCACTAAAGTGACTGATGGCTAAGGGCGGGGTGATGTAACGGGGTGAATCGTTACATAACAATTTATAAGAAATTGTTAATAGAATATAACTATAAGAGTTATATTCTCAGAATATTGTCAAAAGGACAAATAGTCTGTAGCACTTACGAGTAGTTCCTAATTGGTTGATATAGACCATTATATCAACCAACGAAGACGCGCCACGACAGACGCACGCAATGAGTGGTGAGCAGATAGTTGATTTACACATTTGTATTCAGACATGGTTAGATGAAGATAAATAGTGATTTATTGCAGACATTAACTATACTAAATACAGTTCTACTTTTTACTTTAACCAAGTACTCGCTTCTTCTTACCGTCTTCCTCTGCAAGTACGAGTGTACGTGAAGTTACGAGGCACCGCCTTATTCTGTCATCAGACTAAGTAGCTTGTACTGTCATCAGTACAAGCTTCAGGGTGCCCCGTTACATACAGGGCGACGACTTATCAGATGCGATAGCGAACTGAGAACATGACGGTTGGGACAAGGCGATACGGTTAAAATGTGTGACTAACGTTCGAGATGGGCAGGAAAGACGGATATCGTTTGGAAAGTACATGGCTAAGTTGTATTGCACTTGCGATGCATGTTGTAGTATTGTTAAAGAAGAATAGTAATATTGGCTTGGCCAGATCCTGATCGGCATCTCAGTGTCATCGTGACTCATTTCAGTTTGCCATAGGCAGTGCCCTTTTACAAACAGTTGTTGAGGGATGGGAGCGCAATATTGCGTTGAGTCTCGACAGCTCAAATATTCAAAAAATAACTATCCAGTTCATGGTTTTTACATGCAATGAGCTATTCTCTAGTCAAAATCAGAGTACACCAGTTTGGCTTCAAGACGTTTGCGGTCTTTACAGATCATTCGTCATTACGAAATGCAATCCAGCTGTCACATCTCTCTCAGATATTGGCTCGTCGGCTTTCATGTTTTGCCGACTTAGCTTCAAAGTAAAGTACAAACCGGGAAGAAAGAATGCTTTGGCTGAGGTGTTGTCATACAGGCCTAAATTTGAGCTTTCTCACGTTTCAACTCTATCATTGTAGGCCACTGGCCTAATTCGTTAGGCATATGGAAAAGACGAACACTGTGAAGCTCTGCTACGAGCTCTGGGGAGCAAGGAGTTATCGACTCAAACATTGAGTTTTTGGCACGATTATGTACCATGCTACATCGATATTCCATCGATCAAGGCCTGTTGTGCTACAGCACAGACGTTAAGGATATTCCTAGTATCACTGTCCCTCATGATGAGGAGTGGAAAAATCAAAATCTCAATGAGGCACATGATACCGCTGTATGTGGTCACCTCGGTCGTGAAAAGACCTGAAGCTCAGTGATCTAGGCTTTTTGGTGGACCTAACTATACAAATGGGTGATCCCATATGTGCGTACGTGTGAAACGTATCAACGGGTGAAACCCTCTGCTCACTCAGCGACGCTGCTATCTCGTCTAAACATTCCGTCTGGGTGTTACGAGTATATCAGCATGAATTTAGTATTCGGTTTACCTAAAGACGCGTATAGCTATGCGGGTTTTGTGGTCTATTTTTATCGTATGAGCGATATGAATCACTTGGTGGCTGTGCCTGACACCATTGATGGTGAAGGTACAATTACGCTGTTTATTTGTTGAGTGTTTCGAAAACACGCTTTGCTGGTGGCAATTGTCTCTGAACGAGACACTCTCTTCACTGGGATGTTTTGAAGGGGATTTTCAAGGTGATGGGCACAAGACTGGACAAGTCTACAGTGGATCATCCGCTACCAACGTGTATGACGCAATGACTGAAAGCCTAGACCAACAAAGACAACAAGCAGGTGCTAAAAACATTACAGGGGCGGAGATAAATTGCTAATAAATGCTAGAAAAAACTACCTATGTCCCAAAGTAAGCACAGCACCCCTTTTGGAGTTGCAGCCGTAACTGAAAGCATTCGACTAGTCCTTACAAGACAGTGGAATAGCGATCGGGATTAAACTTTGCCACGATTGGTCAGATCGCTTCATGTTGGACTCTATTACAGCTGAAAGACCATAAGAAGAGCGGAGACGTGACACCAGAGTGGATATCAGCGAGTCGAGCATAAGTATCAGTTGTACTTGCCAGAGTATTGACGATATGACTATACGCCGTCTTCAAGAAAAAGTTGCTTTCGCGCTTGATTGGATTAGTCATGGTCGTTACTAGTAAATTATTTGCGTGTACTCTTAACGATCCACGCAAATTGCGCACATATCCTGGCTCTTACTGGGTTGATTAAATGGCATGTGGATCCATCCCACGTAAACTTGGAGGCGCTTGCGTCGCCGGAGTTGGCCTATCCATCGGTTGCTGAATCCGAATCAGGATGTCAAACTGGACCTTAATCCGGGTGTGACCCGACTCCAACGCCCGAACGTTGAATTGCGTCTCGCCGAGAGCGCTCTTGGTCTTAGCCAATGTCTCGCGGAGACCACTCGGCTTGATTAGCTCCTTGGCATACTCCTCTTTCGGTACACCGACCTCCACCGACGCTACTTGATAGGCAAGGAAGCCACCGGTCACATGTGGAGAGAATACTGGAACGACGCCGTCGTCATGGCCAATGCCAGTATGTGGTGAAGTGGCGTGGATACTTGGAGTCGGAGAACTCATGGGAGTATAAGATACCCCTTCGGAAGATTGCCCATACGCCTTGAATGTTTCTGAACATTGTGGCCAGGGTCATCTCGCTACAGAGGACGTTTGCACCACTAGTGGTGTAAATTGGCGGGTCAATGGTCGCAGTCTGACGAGCACTCGCGGCTACCATAGTAGCCGAAGCATAACGCTTACGATTGCGCAATTAACCTCCGGACTTCAGCTTGACAAAAGTATACTAAAGCTTTTGTTCAAGACGAAAATAGGCCAAATCGGCACTTGCTCTTAAAGCTGTCATACTGATGAGATGTCAATTGCGATACACACAGCGAACGAACTGGTTGTCCTCTTCTGCATTATCATACCCACCGGCGTACAAAGGTATTGCTTAATCGGTCGTACCGATATTCCACAAGATAGGCTCTCAAATTTTGCCTTTTATTGACCTTGGGTGGTCTTGAAAGGTTTGAGATACCCATCTTCTAGTGCCTGGCGGAAGGCGATGGCTTCAGGTGATACAGCCTTTGGGGCAATGTCCTATGTTGATAGGCTACGTCTTTCCGTTTGACGGAGCCTTTCCTCCACGTTAGGTGGTGAGAACACATAAACGCTACGGTGCGGAATGATCTTCTATATCCGGGTGCGGCGCAGAGCACTCTCCTTGCGTTAAATAATTAATGTTGCTGCTCGTCGAGCGAGTTGTTCACGATGTGTTCACCTGCATCTTTTGCATGGCGCTGCTCCATTGATGCTGTGCTCCCTACGTTCGACAAATAGATTGGGTGATGAAAGAGGTCGTATCTCAGGCACGGGTGGGTTAGGCAATGTCCCTTTGTCACTATGGTTATCGTTGTCGCTACCATAGTCCACATCCTATCAATTACAAGGAATGAAGAAAGAGTCGGAGACTCGAGAGGTGGAGGTGGCATGGTTCTTAGTGTTTTGGCATAACTGCAAGATTAAAGCACACAAACACACCGATCTCTTTGAGGAAAGAAGACCAATGACGTTCCGTGGTAAATTTAGTCCGGTGGTAGAGGGTGCAACGAGGATATACTATACGTGCGACTTACACACAAGTGTGATTCGCATATCATATTTGGGTTACGCCGATGACTGAGTGTCATTACAGATGGTATTGGGACACCATACCAGTTGTTAGAGGTCGACGTGTGTCAGCCACCGAATCACGATATCTTTTAGGAGGTATTCGTGAGAACATTAGTGTTTAGATTAAGTACTTTCGCTAAGGTTCTTTTGGATAAAAAGAATCAAAGTTCATTTTCATTTTTGATCTAATAGACACGTGTCTTACGAGGCATCTGTGATCAGTTGTAGTTTAGCGACGCCGGTGAAGGTAGCTAATCTTGAGCACAGTGAGCTGCAGTTCCCTTGAATCGTTGGCTTCCTTGAAACAGCGGCCGTAAAGCTCCTCGAGCTTGTTGACTCTCTGAGTCGGGTTCTGTGAACCAACGTTGCTCGTAGAGCGTTAAGTTTTCCTCTGACTTATGGAGATGCATAGCTCCGCTACATGTACCCTACAAAATTGTTGAAAAGCCAGATCTGTATTCTAGTGAGCGCCAACATGTGCGCTGAGGACAAAAAATAACAATCACCGTGAAAGACATTATTAAGCTCATGAATGCTTACATTCGTTGGAAAGGCAGCATTACCTGTGACACAAGATTCCAATCGGTACCGCTGATGTAGTGCTTTCTTTTTTGAAGGCAAGGCTATGCTTTGGCGTGGTGGCAACGATGTATGAAAATTAACTACACGCCTCAACAAAAGTCAGGTAAGTTCCAGCGGGTATTGACGTCTTGCAGCATAACTTAGTGGTAATTTCAAGCTACGGAGTTGCATGAACTATCCCGACGTTTGGTGGACTAGAAGAAAGGATGGACGAAGGTCCGAAGCAGTCGCCATTGGGTCGGCTAAAAGCGCAACAGGTTGAGTCCGAGACTTACACATGTAATAACTACTAAAACATACCCACCCTCACAAAATTATATTTGCGTGCTCTCAGTAGATTAAAGTGTCCATCAGATCGTTGCTAGGGACACCTTATTGTCTCTACGAGCATCTTTTTTTTGCGTTAGTAAGAGGTCGAATAATCGTCTGCAAAATTAAACAAAAAAACTGACAATGCGCCAAAACAGAAAGAGCTTTAATGTTACTTTTTTCGGATCTCAGAAGCGTTACATGTAAATTGAGCATTAACAGAATCTCGACCTAATACAAAGAACGATAATTATTCAATGCGGTGTGTGTGGGAAGAGGGATGGGACGCTGCAGGATTGATCTTAATTTCTTACACACAACGCTGGATCTGCTCCAAATAGAAAAAATCGCAAAACTAGCACCAATCTAACCTCAACGTCTGACAAGCAGCATTAATTGCAAAAACGCACAAGTCGCTTGCAGTTGTGCGGTCACAATGATTGATGCTCCTGTAATTGTGGTCAAACTGGAGCACGAGTTCTTGTGACAAAATGGAGCGTCCATCCACAAGACAACTGCGATGAGCTGAAATATTTTAGCAAAAACTGATGCAGATAGAACAAAACTAGCGAAAGGACAATTTGCGAGATTATTCACTAGTTAAACGTTGCCCTGCCTAACTATCTGGATCACGATATAGAGGTGAGCTATAAGCATAGTTATCACAAATGAACCGAAGAGCATTTGCTGCTGAGAGAAGACCGCCAACACATCCATGAGTATTATCTTTACGGTGTCAGAAGTATTTATTCCACACATTCCTGTCTCAAAGCAAATGGTCATTATGTAAAAATGACTCACTCTGGGAAATCCATGCATAGATAGTGACAGCGCAAGTACTGCAGTGCGTGTCCGCATAGACGGCCAAGGCGATATCTACGAACTGACTACTCGGCACTTATATGTAGAAACACAAATGATTTGCTAGACGTGTTTCACTTTGCCAAACCCCATCTTATCACACATTCGACGCATTAGCTAAATATAGATGTTGATGCAAGTCGCGATAACCAACAATTTGACACGACATAATATACAAGAGCAAGCTCTGGAGCTCGCCCAGTTATGAGAGATCCAGTACAGAGAACAGGATCAAGCGCTAAAACATTTACGTACTCATTTCTGGGTAATTGGCGGCATGGTAATATTTTGCGCGATGTAGATCATTATTGAAAGTGCAGATGGTGTAAGTAACTTCAAGATGCATTGGTTTGAACTAGTGCAGATGTAGTTAGAAGAAAAAGTAAACATATTTAGCATTTACTATTCTTCTTTAACAATACTACAACATGCATCGCAAGTGCAATACAACTTAGCCATCTACTTACCAAACGACATCCGTCTTTCCTGCCCATCTCGAACGTTAGTCACACATTTCAACCGTATCGCCTTGTCCCAACCGTCATGTTCTCATTTCGCTATCGCATCTGTCAAGTCGTTGCCCTGTATATATTGTTCCCATTTGACCGATCGTCTCCTCGTGGTCCCACGGGTCACTTGGTATGACCACCAGCCAATCAGGTGAGACCGTCACCTGATTGGCTGGTCGTCAGACCAGAGGTATAGTTATTCAGCATTAAACATAATAAACATAGTAGTTTCCAAAACTCTTTTTCGGTGTCATTATGAGCGGTCTATGGCTTGAACTTCGTTTGTAGTTCTTCCATTCTTGGCGCCGGAAGAGCCTTTGTCGGTATGTATGCCATAATGTCCTGCGATTTAACAAACCTTAGCTCTACAATCATTTCTTGTGCATGATGGTATAAAAACTTAAAATTTATAATCGCGTGCTCAACCTCGTTACTCTTCTCCTCCTGAGCTTCTTGACTGCCGCTGAGCTGTCGATCCACATCAGCACAGGCTTACGCACACGCAGCTTAAGATCGTTCAACAATTCGTTCGTGCTTTAAAGCCCTTATCCGGCCTGCGACACTGAGATGAAATCAGATTCCATCGTACTCAGCGATACCCCTGATTGCTTTTTGCACTACCATAGGACAACAGCACTATCCATAGTTAGCACTCATCCCGACACAGACTTACGATCGGCCTTGTCTGCAGCAAAATTAGCATCGCTCCAACACTCTACCCCCACGTTCTCTGCCTTTGGTCCAAAACCGTTTAGATGCAACTTCATATCCTCTGACATCTTCAAGTATCTCATGATACGCTTGTCTGTCTTCCAGCTCTTGGACTTCGGATTGTGAGTCTGTCTTGTGGCCTTGTGCACTGCGAATCATACGTCTGGACGCGTACATCTTAAAATCTATAGCAAGCTTCCCAACAGCGACTAAAACGACTTCACGCTTGATTCACCCCTTGCGCTTCTCGCAGGGTAGTCCGCAATACCCTCTTCTTTCACATTACACTCGTCTTCAATAAGGCCCGCACTCCGTTCGCTGACTCCATCCTAAACTTCTTTAACTAACAGGTCGATCGTGACCTCTTGATCAAGAACGTGTCCTTTCGAGCTGTTCAGTTGTATCTGTAATCTCAGGAACTTGTTTACTATTGTTAAGTCCTTCATCGAAAATGGACTTATCTCAGCAAAAAACATATCTACGGCGCTTTAAACGGCGCCTATGACCAACCGGTTATCCACATAGACACTAAACACTGTACGTGTCTCGCCTTTGTACTTGTAGCACAGGCACATGTCCGTCGCGCATTGCTGGATTCCACCTTGTCGAAGCTTAGAGTCGAGTAATTTGCTCTACATCCGCCCAGCCTGTTTAAGTACATATTTTGACTATTTTAACAGTAGTGCCAAATCACTTTATGACCTTTTCCCCAGAATTTCTATCTCTTTTGTTTCCAGAGTCATTCCCTTTGGCATCTTCATGTAGATTTCCAGGTGATCTTCCTTTTCCGCCTTGACATACGCATTTGTACGTCCCCATGGCGGGGCACTACGTTCCATCGTCTGCAGAGCACCAGGAGCAGCTTCACTGTTCCTTAATCCATGACGGCCGCGAACGTTCGAGTACAATCCACTCGAAAAACTTGTTCGTTCC